TTATTTACATCTTACATCACATGAATTAAAGCTTATGTGTATCATGTCATACCTTAGGTTCCTCACCATCTTTCCATTAATTAAAATTTTCAAAGAGTTTAATGTATGATCATACATTTTACATGAGCTTATGGAATTGCAGCGGAGGATATTGTTAAAATATAACCTTTAAAACCAAAGTTGACCAGGATAAGGAAAGATTCTTGTACTGGAATGGACATGCTGCTTAATAGTATAGGAATTCACAAACCTTACTTAGAATTGTCAGAATAAAGAAGCGAAACATTTTACACTCAAGAACCAGCATTTTTGTGGGAAAGTAAATTTTGATATTGACCTTGGACTATATCAATCCAGAACATCATTAGCTTGGAAGAAGCCAAAGGGTATCAAAAGATTGATCTTTCAGGTTTATTGTAACTCGTTACGTATGGAGCCTGTGATATGTGTCTTCTTACTTACCATGACAAAGGATTCATGCCTGAGGTCAGGCTAGCAGCTTAAGTTCTAGCCGCTGCTCCAAGTAACATTGTATCTTTCAACATTGGGTTATGGTTCTTTTTCTCTATGAATAGAAGTATTTTATGTTCATTAAGTTTGCAGTCTATTATTCCGCGAGGCCTATTAGGTGCTAAAAGGTCTGAGATGGATTATGAGAAGTCCTAGCTTCAAATCCATGTTCCAGCCTATATGCAAGAAGAAAGAGATGTTTTTTCTTACTTGATGATGATTATATGCATTTTTTTGGTGATGATGGTTAAGAAGAATAAATAATATGAGCTATAGGCAGTACTAATGACATTCTATTCTTTGTGTCTATTAAAAGGATGGAGAAAGCATATACATCAAGGAAAGGGTCCCCAGGATAATGTACAGACGACTTATGGCTTTGGCTTGCATTGCAGTTGCAAAGGTACTGTCATTATTGCAGTAAGAATTATTGCATGCATTTGTTAGTTATTAACTTATGATTGCCTCTGAGAGTTTGGAATAATTTCTATTGTGATTGTATATGGACTAGAATGAGCTCCAGCATAATCAATTTTCACTCTGGAAGGAGCCATATAGACAAGCGTCTGCTTGGAAACCTTGTGCTGACAAAAATAATCAGCTTCAACAAGGTAATATTTTCTTGTATTTAAAAAGGAAACCCTTTCTGTTTTTTAGCATTGAAACATATGAAACGTACCTCAGTTATCTATAGATAGATGGTTAAGTGAATTATTCATCACTTCTGTTGAAGACCCAAGATAAGTTAACTATAGGTAGTGAATGTAACTGAGAAATATGCAACAGAAAACAACAGCATAACATAGAGCATCAGCTTTTGTTGTTATCAGGTCCTTATAAAACGTTTTTTTGTTATAATCAATATGCAATATTTTTGTTGCCACAGGAGATAACATGAAGAGGATTGGCTTCATATTAGTGAGTGCAAATGGTGGACTGAATCAACAACGAGTAGCTGTGAGGATCTTAACTCATTGATTACTTTAGTATGTTTCAGACACTTGTCTTGAATTTCTCGGCATGCATGCTACTTATTTGATTGAGCATAAAGTTTTACTGTGTCTTAAAGTCCCTGCCACTGCACCAAAACTCCGAATTTGTGGTGAGGATTAGGGTTATATTTTTATATTCTAACATGGCCACCCTTTTTATCAGCCAAAACTTGGATCCACAGAGCAGTGTCAAATTTTAGAAAATCTAATTTAAGTTCGTAATTGGTCGGATTTGAACCTGGTTGCTCTAATACCATCTTAAGTCCCAATTGTTGGAGTATGTAAGTCGTGGAAGATAAAACTTAAGGGTTTATTTGGCTACCAAGGTGTTTTTGTTGTGTTTTTCTAGAAAAACACATTGATATTTTGTTTTTCCTCCCAAAGTGTTTTGAAAACACCGTTGTGATTTTGAAACACTAGTTGTAATGCTTATCAACACCGATATCATAATTAATACATCATCAACCCAAAAAGTTCTCAAAAAATTCTTGTAGAGAGAATTTAATGTAACTCATCCTACTCAAAAAATATTCTACACAATAATAAGAAAATAATGCAGGAACAACAATTACAATTACAAGAACAACAATTATTTTATACATTATTTTTTCAAGAACAATAATTACAATTTGGACTTATATTCTTATTAGCAAATTTATAAGGTCTTGTAATTGACAACAGAACCAAGCAAAAATGTACATCACGAACTGGATTTTTTTCATGAACTGGATTTTTTTTATGAACTGAACTAAATATGTACAACAGAACCAAACAACAATTATCTCTTGATTTTTTTTCAATGAATTGGATTTTTTTTCCATGAACTGAACTAAGCAAAAAAAATTTAATGGTTACAGTGCGTTAATCAAGGGGATAGGAGTGAATCAATTATCAGAAATTGGAAGGGGGTTTGTGGGAGTTAATCAAGGGGGGAGGAGTGAATCAATTATCAAAACAATTCATATATTCAAAAAAAAATTAATCAGATCAAGAGTTAATAATGGTTACAGTGCGTTGAGAACGGAGGCGACGAGATCTACAGGAGACGGCGACGGGATCTGAAAGCGACGATGACGACCAAAGGGTTCAGATCTGAAGCTTGGGGATCTGGGGGACTGCGACGGGGATTGGGGACGACGGAATGTGCTCTGGTCTTGGGATCTTGGGGATCTAAAGCAAGGCAACGACGGCGACGGCGACGGCGACGGGGACTGGGAGATCTGGGCGACGGCGACTGCGCTTGGGGATCTGGAGGCGACAGCGACGACCACGACGATAGGCGACGGCGACGGTCACAGCCACGACAACGTTGACGGCAATTTGGGCGAGCGATGGCGACTCTCAGATTTGAGAACTTGGGTCGATATTTTGGGGGAAATGAAAACAACATCCTTTAAATACCTATTTGTTGATTTCAGAAACCCGTTGAAAGTTTGGGTTTGTTGTAGTTTTGGGCTGAAAAACGGAGCAGTTCCCAAACACGTTGTGTGTTTTTTTTTAACAAAACGAAAACGCCACAAACGCAGCGGTTACCAAACGAAACCTAAACAATTAAGAAACCCCAAATCTACCAAGCAATCAAGACAAACAGTAAACAACAAGATTTAACGTGGTTCCACACGATCAAGATGATCCGTGTACGTTCACTGGGAGAAGAGGGAAGATATTATTTCTTTTGAGAAGAGATTACAAGAGGTTGAAACTACACCCCTAACAATGGTGGAATATAGATCTCTTTTTTTTCTTGTTGTTTTAAACTCATGGATTGATACAATATATATAGAGATTGATTTTGCTCAATCCTATTAGAACTCTAACTTGAATCCTAATTGGATTTCCTAATTCAATTAATTCTTTCATCCCAATCCTAATTAGGATAGTATAACTAATCCTAATTAGAGTCCAAACCCAATCCTGCTTCTTAACTGATTTGAGTCATCACGAACTCAACACCTATCAGTACATCAAAACTCCAAAGTTGTGGTGAGGGTTGAGGTTTATTATTTTAGGTTCTAACACCATGCATAGGGTGGAAGAGAAATTGATGAGATGGTGTCAAGTGTCAACATACATTTTCATCGAGGCTTAATGTATAAAATGTTTGTTCCTATTTTCTTTTCAAATTTTCTGCTGAATAAGTAAATGTTGAATGTTCTAGGTAAACAGAAGACCTAATAGAATAAGCAAGAGCTGGCGAGAAATGTACAGAAAATATAGTTGTGACTTGTGAGAGCAAGGATTTCTTAGTGTTTGATTAATCCTTAGACAAAGCTTAAACAAGAGTCCCTTTTCTAGGTCAATCTGAAGGCAAATCAAGAATATAATTTTCATATTAACAGTCTTGTTTTCTACTTGCTATTTGCTTTCTACTTATTTGACATTATTAACTTCTCCAGGTGTGCAATGCTGTTGCTGTTGCTGCTTTACTCAATGCCACTTTGGTCCTTCCAAAATTTCTTTACAGCAGCGTTTGGAGGGATTCTAGGTAAGTTAAAAAAGTTATTTATTATTAAATTGAACAGGCAATCTCTCTACATGATGTGATCTTTATCTTCAGTGTAAATACCATAGTAACACCATTGCAGTTCATGTGCTATTCCTGAAAGTACATTATTCTAGCCTGTCTCAGAGAGTAATTGGCATGAATTGAAACTATAGTGTCATAGTTGATGTGCTACTGATTAGGAATATTGGCTATTTAAGAGGTTTGAGGGTGAGCCTTGGCGCAACGGTGAGGTTGTTGTCTTGTGGCCTGGAGGTCATGGGTTCAAATTCTGGAAACAACCTCTTTGCATGCGGGGGTAAGGATGCATATATCTGACACTCCCTAGAGCCCACAATGGTGGGAGCCTCGTGCACTGGGCTACCCTAGCGATTTAAGAGGTTTAAACGAGATAATTATTTTATCTTTTTTCTGTGTAATTGTTGTATGCTAGTTTCCTTAAATTTGAGTGAGTATCATCATGATCAAAAGAAGGCATTGTTGCCATGGATGCGGTGTCACAATACATGAACAATTTATGGGCATGGTGACCATAAGATATAGCGTGTTTTGAAACTGCATTCATTGCCTTGATGTCCTATGCTTTGCTATAATAATAATAATAATCATGCACATTATTGGTTTCTGTTTCAAGACTTTTTTACCTTGTTCTATCTAAACAATTTGAACACTCACCATATATTATCATTGCAGCCAGTTCGGTGATATATATCAAGAAGATTATTTCATAAACTTTTTGAAAGATGATGTGAAGATTGTGAAAGGGCTGCCACCTCATCTTCAAACACTGGACATTGAAGCAATTGGTAGCCAAGTCTGTTACGTTCCTTACTTGCTAAAGCTTTTGCGTGGTACCAAAAACTTGTGAAGACCTTATATCTAACGTGATTCTAATCATTTCCTAATTCAAATTTCAGATAACTGATATGGACATCAGGAAAGAATCTAAACCCATACATTTTCTCAATGTTATACGTCCTCTTCTATTAAAGAATGGTGTTGTTCATTTCCTTGGATTTGGAAATCGTGTTGCATTTGATCCAATGCCGAAGAATTTGCAGGTAGATTTCTACCCAGGTAAATTTTGCTTTCAAATGAGCTATGACGAAAGGAGTACCTTTCATGTTTATAATTTATGATCTATTGAAATGTCGTGCGTATTCCTATGTCAAATATGTCAATGCACATGGCATAGTTATAGCCACGGTTCCAGTTCTTACATGAATCCAGCTAGATTTCATTTATTCAAAATTTCTACCTTCCTGTTTTGCTAATTCACATGCCTTTGAATTTTCTTGTAGAGGTTAAGATGCAAATGCAATTTCCATGCATTAAAGTTTGTTCCAAAACTTCAAGAAACCGGTTCCCTATTGGTCAGAAGGATCCGCAAATATGACTCAAGGTTGACTCACTTGGACAAACAATTACTTGGAAAATATATACCCAATCCTCCCTTGATTGAACACAACATTACCACCCAGCCATCAAAGTATCTTGCCTTGCACATGAGATTCGAAATGGATATGGTGGCTTACTCTGTATGTGATTTTGGCGGTGGAGAGAAAGAAAGGAGGGAATTGGAAGCTTATAGGGAGATTCACTTTCCTTTGCTCGTCAAGAAAATGGCCAAAAATACGTGAGTTTAAGTCTGAAATAATTGCATACTATGTTTTAATGGAGTAAATTCCTTTGGAAAAATTTACAAAACCCCTTAAGTTTGGCAGCTTTTGAGATGACCCCCTACTTTGGAAATCTCATTCCTTAGGTTCTGTTGGATTGCCCCCCAACTCACACCATTAGTTCTGAATGTGCACTTGAAAATCACACGCGTCCAATAACCAACATGCCCTTGATGGAAAAAAGCCTTTCTTGTCATTTTAGTAATTTTAAAGAAAATTTTCACGATGGTCAAATTTTGCGATAACCGCTGTCCAACTGCCCTTTCATAATTAATTAATTTAATTTAGTAATTACGGTGTTAATTTGAGAAAAGGGTATTTTTGTCTTACCAATTCATCTAATTTAGTGGATTAGTTGGAAAAAAATTGAAACTTTTGGGGGTTTCTGAATCAGTCCGAATTTAAGGCGGGTTAAGTGACATTTTCAAAGTTTAGGGTGGTTATCTCAAATTAGCCAAACTTAAAAGGGTTTCGTAAAATTTACATGAATTCCTTTATTGTTTTGTGATGAGTATGTTATCTCTGGAGATAGATCCTTTTCTCCAGCCGATCTGAGGAGCTTAGGTAGATGCCCGTTGACTCCTGAAGAAGCAGGACTCATGCTTGCAGCTCTCGGTTTTAAACGTGAAACCTATATGTATCTTGCTGGATCACATATTTATGGGGGTCAGTCTAGACTGCTTCCGTTCACTAGACTGTATCCTAATTTGGTTACAAAAGAAGATCTTCTTACACCGAGTGAACTTGCTCCCTTCAAGAATTTTTCGTCTCAGGTGAGTCCTACTTCAACCATCAATAAGAGATCAAATTGCATAATAAGAATGGAAGTAGAGACTATATGGTTAGGCCCTTGAAATTGAATCTTCAACTATCAAAGCTTCAGGCAAAAGGTTTCGTTGTATTTGTTAGGCAGAATATTTAAACTAGCAATTTTATTGAAATTTGAAAGCGTTAATTGCGGATAGGGCCCATGTCCCAATTGAGGATAGATCCCCTGTTGTTCTATTGTTGCGGATTCACGCCGTCTATCGCCCAACTGTGGACAGAGACCTTGGGTGATTTTTCGACTCTTTTACCCTTCAGAGGTCATCTGTCAAAAAAGCATCTCCCATTTTCCTGAGGGTAAAAGAGTGAAAATTACACTCAGGTGGTTTATCTACAACAATAAAACTACAGGGGGTTTTCAAAAAAACAGTTATCTATTATACTGAGGGTAAAAGAGTCATGCACTCATCAGTAATTAACCCTTAATGAAATAGAACAACAATGATTAATATCTACAGATACATACGGGAGGTGCATGTGCATATAATCCGATTTCATACTTGTTCAACTAGATAAACACTTAGTTCAAGTTGAAACTATCCAGTGGACCTTGTCCATGACATTGATACCGCACCGAAGACTTATTAACCCTTGGATTAGTGCACAAATCACAAAATCCTATAATTCATGAATTGATATCTTTGTGATGCACATTTAATGCCATGAAACACATACAGGCACACGACGACAACCTATCAGAAGTTCACGCATTTAATCTCTTCGTCTACCAATAACGCACTCGACAATGCTCATTTCTTTCTCTATTATAAGCTTATTCTTAAGTGTACAGCAACTTCTTTTCTTTATTTCAGTTGGCAGCATTAGACTTCGTTGCTTGTGCAACTGCTGATGTCTTTGCCATGACTGACTCTGGAAGTCAACTTTCGTCGCTGGTAACTGGATTCCGAACCTACCACGGGAGAGGACGAGCTCCAACACTGAGACCCAACAAAAAGCGTTACGCAAAGATTTTGTCGGAGAATAGGACAATAGCGTGGGGAGATTTTTCCGAGAGAGTAAAGAAAATGATCGAAGAGGGTCAAAGAGTTCGCCCACGACGAAGAGGTAGAAGTATTTATAGGCAGCCGAGATCTCCAAGTTGTATGTGCAAGGGTTGAGGAGTTTTGGTCGGCATTGTTTCCTTGTTTGTTTGTGTAGTGCAACAGAGGAGAAAAGGGTGAAATTTTTTTTGTCTCCTCTTCGTGTAACGTGGACTTGTTGGAATATTGTCTTACTAACTTTAACAATTGCTCTTTGACGTTACTTCAAAAAAAAAATCAAGTGTGCAAAGTTCTCTATCATGTACATACATAATTAATGACAAATTTAACCATAAACACAAAACTTGAGGTGAAGAATGACTTTTTAAAATTTTATTATCTAACACGCGCCTACAAGTTGAGCGTCTTCTCGTGAGCCGAAAAATGTGTAACTCTGGCATCATGTCAAAGGTATTTACCACGCATCAAAACTTTAAAATTGTGGGAAGAGTCAAAGACTGCATAACTTTATACTCTCAACCCCTATCCCCATCTTCGAACGTAAATAAGAAAATTTTGACCATAAATCCTTCTCAATTGGGTGACCTCTAATCGCGTGTGAATATTAGGAACCTAGAAGCTCATGCATACAAGAAAATTGTCATGAGCAGAACAAATGCAGTTTAAAAAGTCTTAAGCAATTCGCTTTAGACCGTCTCCAATATACCACGGCAATCTTACATTCTCCTTAATATGCTCTTTTGTGGAGATTGGTGTAATAAACACACGAGAGCAATACACTGGTTGTCAATAGTGGCCATTATAGCTTACTTTCATCTACAGGCATTAATTCCTCAAAGCGCTATTTTTCCTCAAAAGGGCAAAAGGGGAAAAAAAGAATAGATTTATCTAAAGAATTGCTGCGTGTGACGTGCGTTTAAGATACCAATTGTGTGGGCATCGCAGCAAAGTGGTGGAATCGCCTCCCACGTTGCAAACTCAGGCCCTCTCTTTTCCTAAAGGAAAGTTTGCTTTTTCATTAATAGATTCAGCAGAAAGTTCAGATGACATTTTAGAAAAATTAAAAAATTTATATAGTATTTATTGAGGTAATCGTTAGTTTGTTCTTGGATAACTGCTTTTATTTAATGAATAATCAAAATCCTTTTTAAATTTTCATTTAATGATTGTTCCTTGTTATCATTTAATAATTCATCCTACATTGATAATTTAATTTTTAGAATAAGATTTGTTATCATTTTTATCCCACTGTAACCACAAGTTTTTTGTAAATTTTCCAGTTTAAATTAGTTTTTATTAGCCTTTTCCACGTCATTTATTTAACAAATGGGGGAATAACAATATTTTTTATAGTTAGATGAATTCAAAGTCTAGTCTAATTTTGTCTTAATGCAATAATTTTATTTATTTTCCTACTTTGAATATGGTTAAAGCAGGTACTTTTAAAAAATTTAATGCAATAGCCTACTTAACTCTTCCTTATTTGCGAAAATGCAAAGCATAGCCCTTTAATATAAATGTCTGATCCAAACAGTGTTAAATTATTTTTTATCCCTCATGACAGGTTAACTAAGTTAACCCTTCTCATTAACTCCCCTCTCTTAAACTCTTGTCAAATGGCACCTTAGGGTTCATTTTCCTATAAACCATCTTTAAAATAGGGTAATTATACATCAACCACCCTTAAAGTGAGTTTTTGTTGTAGTCATCAAATTGATAGTTAGAATTTCACTAAAAAGATTAAAAATAGACTTTAAAAAGTTTAAGTTCAAAATACACAAGTTGTATCCTAAGGAGACCTATATACTGAAAAAAAGTAACTCATACGCCATAAATATGAGTTGTTAAAGGGTAATCTTGGATTTTTAGTGAAGATTTTGAATGGAAGGCAATTGTTTGTAATAAAAGTGCACTTTAAAGGTGGTTTATGTATAAACTGAAATTGAAAAATAGTTTCTAGATAACTACTCTAGTTTTAAAGTGGTTTTAGGAAAAGAAAAAACAAGAAATTTACATCTTGCTCTTTCATTAATGCCAGATGGTAGCTCACATATTAACCTTCATCTTTCCGGAGTCACAATAATGAGAAGATAATATTCTTATCTAATGACAATCTAAAATATTATGTATCTTAGACCCAAATTGTAATCTACTCCTTTATATTTAAGGGAGAATTCAAAGAACACTATTCATGTTACAGTAAATAACTGTAATATGAACAGTAAATCAAATCTGGCCCTCTGCACCCGAAGTTGTTGTTTATACTACGGTAATTTACTGTAGCATAAACAGTAAATCAAATCTGCTCCTTCATACTTGAAGTTACTATTTATGCTACAGTAATTTACTGTATTATAAACAGTAAAGTAATAAAATGTATTAAAACTTAGATTCTTCTTTAAATATAGAGTAGTAGATATGATTTCTAAATCAAATGTATTAAAACTTAGATCATTCTTTAAGTATAGAGGAGTAGATATGATCTATAATTTTAAGCAAATAATAATTAAATTAAATATATTAAAACTTAGATGGGGGCAAATTTAAAATACGGTGCTTAAAAAATAGGGTGTCGTGTTTTGCACATAGTGCACATTAGTTACTCATAATAGAAGAAATATATCTTGAATACCATCCTCAAAATTATAAATTGCATCTCAATTATCATTTACCAAAAGGATATGCCTGCGTTGCATATACATGTGGGTGCTCCGAGCCCTACAAGGAAGTAGTATGGCTATTTTTGAGAGCTCATAATGCATGAAGCATGGTGCAAAAAATCATACTTCCATGTGGAGTGTTCTAACTTTCAATATGTTGTAGATTCGTCTTTTTTTTTTTCTTTTTGTAACGTCGATATTTTCACTTATTATCACTCAAGTTCTAATTTCACTGATAAACTTCGCCAATTGAAGTTTTGAGGTCTCTATTATTCAAAAGATAATTTTCTCTCCTCAGCTGAAGTTAAATCTGTCTCGAGCGAAAAGGCCTTTTCCCCCTCTCCTCACTTTCGAAAAATTTATTCAATAAATTGCAAATATACGGAGATACTTTCTGTTAGTAAATTGATATAATTGCACAAGTAAGCACCCCAAGTCGGTGAACATAAATACACCTCGAAACTGGACTTCCCTGCAAAATTCTCTCCCCAAAAACAGCGCCAGTCATGGACTTCTGAGCTCAGCCTCAGCTCACAGCCTCACACTGGTCACAGCTGCGGGCGGTTCCAGCGAGGTCTCCGCCTCGTATAAAACCCCCCCTCTCTAGGCTTTTCGCCCTCAAATCTCTCCTCTCTCTCTCTCTCCCCCTCAATTCTCTTTCCCTCTCTTCAACCTCGACCAAAATGAGCGATTCCAAGTCGAAGGCCACCGGAGTTTGGACCACCGTCAAGCCCTTCGTCAATGGCGGAGCATCGGGAATGCTCGCTACTTGTGTCATCCAGCCTATCGACATGGTCAAGGTCGGTGATAGACTCTTGATTCTCTTGTTTCCAGGTTGTCTTAGGGTTTTGAGAGGTTTTGAGGTCGAGATCTTCGAAATTTGAGCTGATTAGGGTTCGGATTTGGTTTTGGCAGGTGAGGATCCAGTTAGGGCAGGGATCGGCGGCTCAGGTCACTAAGAATATGCTTGCAAACGAGGGATTTGGTGCGTTCTACAAGGTTTGATCCTCGATTTTGAGATTTTTGCTGGTTTTAATTTGTTTACTGTAATTTTCTACTTTGCTAAAGGGAATTTAGTTTTGAAGTAGTGTTTTTGGTAAAATTTTAGTTATTTACTGCATGAGCATATATCTATATAATTGATGTCTGAGAAGCCAACTTTTTTTTTTAATATCTTTGATCTGCTCTGAGGATCCTGTATTTTAGTTATTAGATGCTTTTGTTTTCTTTGATTATGTTTTAGTAGTGTTTAGATTAGGAAAGTGTAATTGATATTAGGAAAGTGTAATTGATGTTGTAAAGAGTATTTAGTTTATGAATGGAAATTGAGAGTAAGATCATTCAATACCTTTCAATCTGGGTGAGGTGATCATACTAATTTATGTTGTTAATAGTTAACATGAGACTATTAAGAACATTCTAGGATTTAGAGGGAAATCTAGAGCTTGTATGTCAGTGAGAAGATAATGATTGTGCTTCAAAAACCAAGCTAACAAGGAAAACATATATTACCTTCGAACAAGTTTAGTTCTAGGTTATAATTGTTCTCTCACGAAGTTGAGTTATATGTCATAGTCTTTTGATAGCAATGCATAAAAATTTTGTCAAGAGTTGTAAATGACTTCATATTGATATCCTTTTTATTCTCATAAAACATGGATAAATTACCAGGTTGGTTTTTAATTAGACACCTTTTACTAGTAAGGCATTTTAAAGAGTCAACTCTACAATAAGGCATTTTAAATGAGTCAAAGGTACAACAAGACCTAAATTTTCATCAGCGCCTAATTTTTCGGCAAGGAAGTGTTTTTTGGCTGGAGAAATTACTTCTTTCAAACCTATTGAATTTACACTTAAAGATAGAGGGTTTATATGAAACCGATCCTTTAAAAATCTTCATTTTTCCTATCCACTCATCTTCTTCTTCCTTTCTCCTAATCATTATCATTAGTGCCTCCACATTCTCGCCCTCTCCGCCCTAACTCCCTCTCCTTTCCCTCCCTAGTTCTCCCCTTTAAAAGCTCCTCCTCAACCCTCACTTATCCAGAACCCAAGATATAGTGTGGATAGGAAAGAGAAAGCTTCGTAAAGGGTCAATTTCACATAGATACCTTCTCTTTTGCCACATTATGAAGATTAGGTGTAGATTCAATAATTTTGACAGGTCAAGAGGGTAGAAATAGTTTTTTCAACAAAAAGTAATGGTTCCTCGCTAGAAAATTAGCTGCTGACGAAAATTTGGGTTTTGTTGCACATTTGTCTCATTTAAAATGCCTTAATATAGAGTTGCCTATTTAAAATCTCTTATTAGTAAAAGGGGTCTATTTGAAATACCAATCTGGTAATTTAGCCCATAAGAAGTTGTTAAGGAATAAGGACTTCATATTGAGGCGAGACGACTGCTTGTAGTAAATTTAGCACAATAGCACATTAATCAAGTAAATTAAGGATCCCTCAAATCTCTTGGTTAAACAAATAGTAGGATCATCGACTATTAATAATTAAGTTACATGGATATGACTACAGGTGCATGTACGTGTATAGGACATGACAAATTTGTGAAAGGTAGTGTACGGGGACATGGCTACACATACATGTATATATAATAATAATTTACGTGAGATCAATGCTATTTTTATTTCACGTGCTATGAATAAAATTTCTATATCATTTATATGTTTTTTATAATACATATATCTGTCAAGGAGGAGTCCAAGATTATTCTTTTGAGAGCAATGTTACGAGCCAGGGGCCAGCGTGGCCATGGTACCCTAGCTTTTTACAAAGATAACGTATATGCATTTGGTTATTTCCTATATTAGTCCCCCACATTATTCATTTTTGAAATTAATTACCCCAAATTTTTCATATTGGAAATAAGTCCTTCAAATCTTTGTAGAATATTGAAATTAGCCCCTTTGTTATATTTAGTTATTTGCCACTCAAATTGTTAACCATCATTGCATAGTGGTTAACTAGGGACAAGTAATTAGTAATTACCAAATCAACCAAAATTAACACCAAAATTCACCAAACTCAAGTTTAAAATTAGTGGATTTTAGTAAAAACACATACATCATGTTTTTGTGTTTTTCTCTATATTTCGTGTAGAATAAAGAAATAAGGTTTCAATTTCCATATACTTTTGCATTTAATAGTAGAACTGTGAAATGATGTTTGTATTTTCATGTTGGTTTACACTTTGTGATGGAATTGTGAAGTAAATTTCTTGTAATTTCAAGAAGTTTTAAATTAAGTAGATGTGTGAAATGAGTTCTCTACGTTGGCGTAGTTCTACAACTATTTTATAAATGTGATAGTTAAAATTGCTTCATTTCTTGTTATTATTTTATAAAAGAAGTTCAATGGTATAAATTATAGTATATCGTCAATTTGTCATATCTTCAAAAGGTTTATAATTTGTAGTTTGTGGTTATGGAAAAACCGACTACAACCAATACATTTTTAAAAAGAAACTTCACAAGAGTGAAACATGTTGAATCAATTTTGTGTTAGAAATGTGTGCGTTGCAAGTGCACAACCAAGTTATAGTATAAAATCTGTCGAACCACAAAGAGGAGGTTTTTGAAATTTTAAATTGGAATTTTTATTTTTGAATTTTTTTTTTATGAAAAGGGGTTGAAAGTGGGTTTATGGATTTTTGTTAAGGAAAAGCAAATAAAAACTAGAAAGAGGGAGAGAAAAGAGAATTGAACTAAATATAAGAAAAGAGAAAAGAGGAAAGAAAACAAAAATGTAAAAAGAAAGAAAAATAAGAACAAGGGGTAGGAAAATGGAGAGTTAAAAGTTAATAGAAAGAAAATGTGAAAGCTAAAGAAAAGATGAAAACTAATAAAATTAGGGACTAAAAGAGAGAAAGGAGCAAGAGAATTAAACTAGGTAATTAGGATAGATTTCGCTAGATAACTATTTATTAGATCTAAAAATTACTCTTTTTTTCATGTTTTTAAAATTAAAAAAAGACACTATCGATCTAATTGAAGAAGGCATATATTATCAAAATAGATTCTAAAAATAAAATTGAAATTTATCCATAGGTATTGAATTAAAAAAATAATCCAAGAATATTATTATACTAATAAGAATAAATTATCAAACTACTTAAAGAAAGGGTAACATATCAAATTAGAATATCGACATTTTAATTGATTAATCTCTACATAAATAATTAAGGCATAAAAGAGAGCAATTTTAATTCTAATAAATAAGTTATACTAGATTCCTCTTATCGTAATTATCCTAAGAATTTTGGCCATGCATTTTATTAAAGCCAAACTTATGAGCAATTAAAAAAAGCATGAATAAAAAGGTAAGAAAAGAATCTAATTATAAAAGTAAATAAAAGCAAGAAAATAAACTAATTATCTAAGCATGGAATTAAATCTACTCCTAAATTAAACAAGAAAAACTAAGCATGAAAATTAAACAAGCAAAGAAAAGCATGAATTAAATCTAAACTATTCCCTAAACATGTAATTCTAATTAAACAAGAAAATTTAAAGACTAAAAAAAGAAAACTCACATTGCAAGGAGTTGGCCCGTTGTGTAGACAATCGAAAAATCTTCAAGTATTCATTGACACGAGAAGAAGAAGAAATTTAAAGTGGAAAAATAATTTTTATTTTTATTGCAAAATTAAAATTTTACAATATTTGGAAAGCCTTTTCAAAGGGTAGCCCTCCTTTCCCAAAAAGAGGATTTGCAAAAAATTTTACCTCTCTCATCCTCATTCTATCCCCCTATTTATAGGTTATAATAATCTCTCATAACCTTTAAATTTAACTTGATCTTTAAGTAACCCTCACAAGTATAGGATCTCTCTAAACAATCTACACCTTTTTAGTCTTTTTTTGCTCTCCAAGACTTTATAGATGAGTTTTTGAGGGTTTTATTTCTCTTGTATTTAATATCTTTGAAGCTCTTGAGCTTCTCTTGAATGCTCGACTTCATAGGATTTGATTTAGCCTTTAAATAATTGAATATATGATGATTAAATTCAAATTTCTACCAAAGCCTAATATTGTTGATGGAATTTCTAAAATCTGTTAATTTGGATGACTCCGTATCATCGAAATAGGTGATTTTCATATATAATATGTTAGATGTTGCTTTTAGGATTGGGAGTTAATGTCTTTTCTTTGCGGTTGACCATCCTGAATATTAATTTTACTTGATTTCTTTTCCTATTGGGTCTTTGGTCTTAAGCTTCTTTTGGGCTTCAATTAATCTTCAATTAAGGTGTTTTTGGGCTTGAGATAATATTTATTTGAACTCTTATTTATTTAAATTTTTATTTCCTAAAATGCATTAAAAACACTTAGTAGCAAATAAAATTATTTAAAAATTATGGGAAAATGAGGGTATAAAATTATTACTAGCAATAAAATTTTTTAATCAATCAACAATGGGTGCATGTGTTGAAACGATTAAGTATTCATGAAAAAGTTTTTTTATAAATTTTTTATTTGAGTTCTTTCACCTACTTACATATATCAAGATGGGTTTTTTCTAAAAAAGGAATTTTTTTTGCTAAATAATTAGCAAAATCGACCGTTTTGCTAATTATTTAGCAAAAATGACATCTTTTTTGCCAACATGCCACAAAGAGATCGTTTTTAAAAAACAGCATGCTCGAAACATACGGGACTAGTAGTCCTGTATGTTTAGTGTGCACTAATCGCGGATTAAAAAACAACCAAAACCAAAACATACGGGACTAGGTAGTCCCGTATGTTTTGTTTGTGGTTAGCATCTTCTTCACAGTCATTGGTAGCCATTTGTGATGGAATTCTTACAGTTTGATGGCGATAGAGCCCAACAACAAGAAGAAGAACAGAACCAGCATCACAAATCCTTTCTTCAACAAAAACAAGAAGAGGAGAAAGAGAAACAAGATTCTGAAGAAACCCATTAAACCTGGAGGAAGAAAACAAGAAGGATCTGGATCCTCACCGTCATCATCATCATCAACATCTCTTTCCTTTTCACCTCCATCTAAACCTCAAAAGCGAAAGAAATCATCAGCAAGAGCAGTCGCAGCCCACCACAGCTCCTCCGCTGAATATGCCCACAACAGAATGGCA